GCCTTGTGATTGTTCTCTATAATGTCCTCACACATTCCCCTTGTGTCATATGCCATAGTTTGGTGTCTCTATATCTGTAATGGGGATCATAATCATGTTTTCCAGTCATAACATGGGGATCTTGAATATCTGGTATTTGAGTTTCTAAGAGCACGGTTTATATTCCCTACAATCACTTTTTTGGTATCAAGACTGGAAGGATGAGTGTGAGTAGTAGTACCCTCTGTAGAAACTCTTTTCCTCACTTTGTCCTTGGTATTGAGCATTAGATCTTGGTTTGGTGATCTTGCCGTTTCAAGCTCCCTTTCTTTTGCTGTACAAATAGTGAGCATACAGTGCATGGCCTTAAAGTCACGTTTTCTTACTGTGATCCAGTATTTGCTTGAGTAACATTCTCTATACCAGCGTTTCTCAACCTGGGGGTCAGGACCCCTGGGGGGTTGTCGTGGGGGACTGTCAGAGGGGTCACCAAAGATGATCAGAAAACAGTATTTGGGAAGTTTGGCCCAATTCTACAGTTGTTGGGGATCAGAATGCTCTTTAATTGTAGGTGAACTATAAATCCCAGCAACTACAAGTCCCAAATGACAAAATAAATCCTCCAAACCCTACCAGTATTCAAATTTTAGCATATTGGGTATTTGTGCCAAATTTCGTCCAGTGAATGAAAATACATCCTGCACATCAGATACTTACATTACAATTTGTAACAGTAGCAGTTACAGTATTAAGTAGCAACAAAAATAATTTCATGGTTTGGCGTCACAATATGAGGAACCGTATTCAGGAGTTGCAGCATTAGAAAGGTTCAGAACCACTACTCTATTCTATCTGCAATTTCTCCTTGGATGTTGAAGCCACCATTACTAACTCGAGTTTACCATTTCTATGGGGACAGCTCTGGATCAAATACATTCAGATCCTTCCCTTTTCCCCCCTATGTAGCTTTTAAAAACCTTCGCTTGAGTCCCTTGATACATTAGTCTTTTCTGCTGCCAGGTGCCAATGTAACAGGGCAACCTCCCAATTTGTCCTTCCTTTGTGGTTGTTGCTGAAGTTGATTCCATCAGAGAATATAAGTGCTACTTTTGCAGACTTGCAAATTGCTACCTTGGACATATTTGTTTTTTCTTTCTTATTGCCTTTAATGTGTTTTCCCAGATAAGATGGTACCATGTTGCTCTATTTTTATTAGCTTGCACCTTAAAATGCAAACGAATCTTACAGAAACCACTGTGTTCTTCTCTCAAACAATACACTTTACATGTGCAAAGGAGAGTTGTGTTTTCCAGTCGACAAAGTTTAAAAGCAGACCATAAGGCTCCTCGTGTATCTTTATTCTACGCTACTTAAAAATAAACCTAAGCTACTAACTTTAAAACACAAAGAACCAAGTCCAATTTTTAAATGGTACTGCTTCAACTCTGCAGTGGCAGAAGTAGAGCTGAAGGGATGTCAAGCAGACCATCTGTCAAAACTGCGCAAACTCTCAGCATTCTAGAAGATTCCAATGATAATTTGTGCAAGTCTAGACCCATGCCTGTGAATGTAGATGAACATGAAGAACACTGTTTCAGTTCTTAAGACTCCCAGTTGGAAAGAGTTCAAATTTAGGATCAAACAAAGTGCTATTCCCCACTCCAAATGGAAGTTTTGTTCCCAGATGTGTGATAAGTTTCGAAAATAATTCATGCCAAGGACGTTATCACTTTAGTGGTTTATGCACTTATCCCAATCTAACAGTCCCACTCCCCCAATCAAGAATCCCACCTATCTACTTAAATACATAGTGCAGTTCTCTCCAACATAGATTAGCCGAATTACAATATGGACTTTGAAATTTTTCTTGTATCAATATTGCTGCCACTGCATTTGTGCATATATCTGTAACTCAGGGCCATAACCCTTGACACCCGATGCAGTGGGAAGTTGCTCAGGAAAATTTCTCATAGGTGCCAAAGGACTGCTACAGACTACGATCATTTTGCAAACCATGGTACATTATGTCAGTTGTTGCCATAAACTAAAATACAATTTATAATGGAGCCGAATCAAAGAAAGTTTAGAACAGTGAGCTTTTCCTTTAGCTGATTTGCGCAGTGTGTCTTGTGAGCTCTATATTCAGTTGTAATGTCCCCTACTATAAGCAAAGCTGCTGCTTCTTCAGATGGAGACTGCAATAGAAGTCCCTTGTCCAAATACTGTTTGTTTGGCTTGATTTTTTGAATGGTCCACAACATAAATCCATGTTACAACAGTTCTATAGAAATAGTATTAATATTACTTTCTAATGAACTCAATACTGGCTGCCAAATGGGCTATTCAGATAAATAATAAGATAGCATTTTAAAAAAAATGATTCCATCAATGCTGCACTTCACAAGATTATCTCTCCCACAAGAATCACTGCTCACAGGTTGACACTGAAAACAAAAACTAAGAAGTCTTTACTTATGAAGAGTTAATGACCTCAACATTTTACAAACAAATTTGAATTTTCACAAAGATACGCATGATCATGGAAAAACTTGTTCAGAGCCAGTTCAGTATTTAATGAATCCAATTTTTCCCCTTTGGTCCCATTTATTTCAAATATTTTTTGGCACAAATAATAATTGATCACTGTGTACACCAATTCTCTTGAAATACATTTTTGAACTTTCCATTTAATATACTGGATACAGCTCGGAGCAAGGGTTAGAGATATTTAATACCAATAGCTTACTGGAAAAAAAACTGAAGAAAATCCTTTTAACATCATCAATATTAGCTATATTTACCCGTTATCCATATTACAGATACAACTCAATTATATTATTGCATTTAAAATATGTGCGTGACAAAATATACTGGGGAAAAAGAAAAAATGCCGGAAACTCATTTCAGCTCCATAATTCTATTTTTAATAGAACTGAAACAAATTGTGAAACAGAACAGTAATTGAAATGTATCCAAAGAAATCAAATTTCAGCATTTCACACCTTGCTAATGAATCAATGACAACATTCTCAGGTCTCCAAGGCAAATCCCAAACACTGCCATTGGAATTGGTGAAGCTCTGCATGAAATTTATCTTCGCTGGCATTATTGAGGAGCAGCTCTACCTTCAAAGTACAATGACTTCTTAGGGTTAATTCCAGGATATCTGAAAACGTTGATGTTCAATTATCCCCAAGGGTTAGACCAAGTTCTTCCCAAATCCATCAAACATTTAAAGGCTAGGCTCAAAAGTGGCCAAGGGCGGTTCCTATTTAGCAAATGCTTCTGATATTTGATGTTTGTCACACGAAAGAGGCAAAGGTCTCAAGATGAAACCCTCCAAGAGTTAATGCTTGTGCTTCACAAGAATATACTGTGCAGTTTCAATAATTCTCCAGATTAGGATTAAGCAGGCTCTGCACATTTGTGCAGTGTCTCCAAGAGCACTAGCCAGTAGCTTCCTTTGCATCATCATTTTCAAAGAGGAGCTATGCCAGGCTCCTTTTGCAGCATAAAAAGGGAAAGGGGGGGGGGGGGGAATGTGACCGTACCTTTAAAACTGGCTTTTATTTTAGCATGAGCTTTTGTAGATATAAACCCATTTCTTTAGATCCAGAACAGAGTGATATTAAAGCCTCAGGTTATAGAGCTTATACTTTAAAACCTGTATCACCTCATCTAATCATTGGATAATTTAGGGCAAGAGTCATGATTTGCATCTTTCTGGAGACGATTCTATTCCATGTCCACAACTATATAAACATGTTTTATAACCTGAGACTACAATATCACTCTGTACTACATCTGAAGAGATGGGTTTATATCCATGAAAGTGCACACTAAAATAAAAACTTGCTAGTCTTAAGGGTGATACTGTATGCACTCCCCCCGCCCCCATCTCCCTTCCTCCTTTTCTTTTGTAATCTCTATCTACTGCCAAGACTGGGCCCTCATCTCACTTGGCAGTAAGGATGCGATCGTTTGTTTCCTTTGAACACAGTTGGGGAATAACACAAGAAGCCCTACACTACAAGAAGGAAGTCCAGGGTATGGTTTTCCCTATCGTGAAGAGGAGCAAATGTGCATGGACACAATTGCCTGGCACTCAAAAGGGCCAATTCACAGCTCCTGGGACTTTCTTGAATCCAGCAGTTACTTGTGAGTACAGGGGATTTAACAGATGAACACAATTTCCACAATTCAAAGCGCTCCTCTTTTTCATATCAGCTGATGGCCCCAACCAAGCACACAAAGATCCATGGAATGGGAACAACTGCCTGTAAACGCACGTCCACTACTATGTGGACTTGAAACTGGTAGAAAGCAAACTTAAAAGTTCTGAGGAAATCTGTAGCCTTTTATAAGATTATGTGCAAAATTCTGTGCACAAAATTGCAAACTAGGAACAGACCTGATTATATGTCTAACTAAAACAATTTGAGATGTGTGTTCAAATAATGGATTAATTTATATTCTTAATTTCTTCTTCTTCTTCAATTATTTTGCACTCTAGCTCTAAAAAAATGATGCGTCCTTTTAAAAAAAAGTGCACATAAAAATTCCTGAAATCTCAAAATGCAAACTAAATAAAAGTCTTTAAAAAGTCCACCGGTCAGAGTTTAAATCTAGGTTTATAATGTCCTATTTATTGGCATGAATGTATTTTTCTAAACTTAAAAACCCTTCCAGTAAGTTATCAATTTTTTATGACAAAATTTCTCACAACACACAAATATTTACAACATATACATTTTTCAGTCCTTTACATTGGATCTCAAAAGACAAAACATTTTTTATAGATTACCACAGAACAAAAGCTGTGACTTAGGTTTTTCCTTTAAATTTCATAAAACTATCATAAGTTAAAGTGAATAGGTTTCTTTAAATTCCTTGTAGCATTTTACAAGTGCAACAGAAAACTATGAAGATCCAATTAGGACAGCTGTAGTTCATTGGATAAACGTTGACTGTTGTAATCACGTTGTTTCACAGCAAGTTCTTGAAAAAATAAGCACCAATCATTCTTGCAAAGAACAATTTTATCTAAAAGTATCGAAAAAGTGTTAAATACAAGGTGTTTAATTTACATCAACAAGAAATAAATACACCATATCCAAACTTGTATTCTGCATACTGCTACCCTTGTACATATAATGTACTAAAAGTCAGCAAACTGTCAACACCTTTTTTAAGAAATCAATTTGACTTCAAACCAACGGTTTGCTACTATAACAAAGGCCACAAACAGTACGTCTGGGGACAGCATACAGTGTTAAAACTGACAAACTTCAAGGGGGAAAAACATCTAGCAAATAAACCAAAAAGCTGTAGTTCATTGCTGGTGATATTAACATACTAGAAAATCTTAATAGGTTGCTACTATGATTTTTTTTTTAGATTGTTTAGTCAGATATATGAGCAAAATAATGCTCTCACAGATTAAAAATTATTATGTAGCCTCATTATTGTGATTTCATTATCCTGCATGGAAAAATCTGATGGCGGTTTTGTAATTTTGCTTGAGCCTTTATTTTACAATAGAGCATTTTCTCTAACTCAGAATTGCACATAAGAAGGCTATTAAAAAGTACAATAAAAATCTGCACAAATGACTTAAGGAGTCAGTATGCTGTACACTATCTACAATATTATGTTGATATAAGTGAATAAACAATAAAGAAGTGCTTCCACTAACATTTTCAGAAAGTTCATCAGTTGAGGAATAATAGACTGGAATTTTTTGTTTTGTTTTTCTTTTTAAAAAATGGACATCCTATTCAGTTTAAGACCTGTAAGCTTATGCATTGAGCCTTAAAGACTGATCTTCTCTCCTCCTGGAAGAAATATCAATGTCTATTGAATCTTTGCCAACTATAAGCCTTAATCGCTTAGCTGGAGGAAGAGGAATAAAATCATCTTCAAAATCATCCTCATACTCGTCATCTTCCTCCTCCTCCTCCTCTTCTGCAGATGAAGAATCATCCACAGTTTCTTCTTCATACTGGCTATAATCATCCACTTCCACTCGTGACTCCAACAGAGACAGAGATTCATTGCAACACACCCCATTCTCATGGAGGTCACCAGAGTACGTCCCCCTGTTTTCTTCTTCTCGTTTCAGTTGTATTTTTAATTTTGTTGAACTACTACTTGATCCTGAGTTAAATCCATTATTAAGCTTTGCTACATATAAGTTATTGTCATTTTCATGGTCTTTACTTAGCTTAATGCTTATTTTTGAAGAATTCATTCCATCATTTTCTTGGTCGTTTGTCTTGCTGTTGCTATCATGCCGCCTCCGCAGAGTCAGTTTGGGGATCCCAGAGCTGTTTTCAAGAATTAGCTGTGCATCATACCTTGTGATTCGCCTTTTCTTTTTGCTTTTTGCAGTTCTAAAGCGATTCTTTACTTTGAAAGTGTCTGAAGTTACAATGGAACAGCCACCTGACACAGGGATGCAGTCGTTATATCCAATGGCTGAATCCATGACATTGTTAATCTCTCCAACGTCAGAATGGGAACTGATCAAATCTGGCATGGTGTCATTGCCAGGTGAGTTATGTACAGGATCAGTTTCCTCCATTTTCATAGATGGCTTCGCTAGTCTCCCTTGTCGGGATTTCTTTTTGGCCGCAACCCTGTCATTCTTCGGACACTTACCCTCCCCCTTGTTATGTGATGTAACAAGAGCCTGCTCATTCTCCTGCATCACACAAGATTGCTGCTCCAAGCCATTAGTTCGCATGCCACTCAAACTGTTTTTATAGCTATTCAGCGTATTTGGTTCAAGCTTTGAGTCAGAGGTCTCCTTCAGATTCATTCGTGTTCTCAATGACCTCCTTGTTATATATGTACAGGGTGATACCTCCCCAGGTTCATGAGCACCTTTCCCCGAATTTAGTCTGTATTCTCGTGCTGCATGTCTTGTTAAGCAACCACTAGAGATGGCCACTTTCACTGGTCCCTCTGCATCTTTTTCCTTTTTAATGGGCAAGTTTTTATACAGGACTATTTTGGGCTCTTTCAGAACCAAGTTTCCCATTTCGAGTTTCCTGGATGCGTTTCTCTGCTCTGGCCTTTTGCACTGGTTTCGCAACTTTATCTTTGAAAGTAAAGGCTTTGCAGGCTTTTTCAGTCTCTTTGGTACCCTGGAATTATTTAGATGAGTTAGTTTTGATGAGGTAGAATTTGATGAAGTTGGAATTCTTGAAATAGACTGCCTTGTCAATGTTCTACTTTTGCTGTTCTTTTTTATGCCCATTGAAGATTTGCGTGTAGCTGTAAGAGCAAACAAAATAAAGTCAACATTTTCAAAAAAGTTACTATTTTCTCCTGATTGTTACCATAATGTTTCTCTTTGTCGCAAAAATAATACTCCATAAAACACTGAAATATAAAATTGTCAACAAGATCTAAAAGTGATTTTGTTAACATGTTTAAAGACAAAACTGTGTTAGTCTAGACCAGTGGTTCTCACCTGTGGGTCCCCAGGTGTTTTGGCCTACAACTCCCAGAAAACCAACCAGCTTACCAGCTGTTAGGATTTCTGGGAGTTGAAGGCCAAAACATCTGGGGGCCCACAGGTTGAGGACCACTGGTCTAGAATATCAGCATGGAAAGGGGTGCTGCTGCACCTTAGAGATTAACTGTGAGAACAAAGTGGACAACATAAGCTATTGTTGACTAAAACTACTCCCTCCATGCATCTGAGGAAGTATACTTAGCCCATGAAAACTTATGCTACCAAATTTAATATGTCAGTTTGTCTTGAAGGTGTTACAATACCCCTTTGTATGATGGTTAATATAAATTAACGAAATTTCAATGTCTGTCTGCTTACTACAAAGCCATTTTTGTCATTCAGGCTCCTCATCACTGATAATATCTAATCACATGCACTGGTATAGTCTTAACAACTACAAAAAGTACTATATCAGTGTATGTAGTGGCACTCTAGCTTTATGCAATATGACCAACTTTCCTTCAACACTGACAAAATGTGATCTTCATGCTTTGTTCTACTGTGCACGTAGGCAAATCATTTCTTTTAACACAGAGATATACCACATGCTCTGTGTTCTCTATCTGGATAAAATGCAAACTCCACGTGATTATATTTTATTTCCAGGTAATAAAACTAAAGTGATGCATTACTAAAATGACCAGAATAAAGAAAACAAATATTGTAAATCATGAAAAATGACTGAGAGAGGTTGGTATGTTTAGGCTGGAAAAGAAAAAACTGAAAGGAGCCATTGAAGTGACTTCCCGATATCTAAATCTTTTAAAGACACTAAAGATTAATAAGAAAGCATCTTTTGAAAATGTTATCTCAATTTGCTTACTTGCATGAACTTTTTCCTGAGTGGTATCTGCATCAGTGTTGGAGCTTACAGACTGGCTATCTGAGTTTTTGCTGCTGTCACCCAACTTTTTCAGCCTGTTTAAACGCTTGTCTGTTTCTCTGAGTCCATATTTGCTATTGATCACAGGAGCAGGAACAGGAAGCCCCACTCTTGACTTAAAAGCACCAGTTCCACGTCTACAAATAAACCAAACAAATAAAAATCCATCAACAACTCCAAATACAACAATAGCATCTACGTCTACGTATATAATAAAAGTGAAAATATGTATGTATGTATGTATGTGTCTATCTATGTTTGTATGTATTTTTAAGATGGTTCTCACCTACAGAGAGCCCTGTGACTCCCACTGACAATAGATCTAAACCAAACTTGGCACACAGACCCCCAAACCCCCTCCCCGAATTTAAATACTGGTGAGGTTTGGTGGGGATTGACCCTGGATGGTAGGAGTTATAGTTCACCCACATTCAGAGAGCACTGTGAACCCCATCGATGATGGAACGGGACCAAACTTTGCACACGTATCCAACATGACCAACTTTAGGTACTGGCGGGTTTGGGGGAGATTGATGCTGGATGATGGGTGCTGTAGTCCCCTCACATCCAAACATGTGTATCCTACATTCAGACATCCATACGTATTTCTATTGGGACTGTCCATAAAATTCAAAACCAAACACTGACAATTTGAAATATTTATCATTTCAAAATACATAACCCGGCCGTCGCCGAGTACTTAAGTCAGTAAACAAATAAAAAACATTTGTATTCCAACCACTGTAGATTTGTTTAACAAAACTGAATTAATGCAAATATTTCCAGCTAGTTATCATTTTGTGGTTACAATGAAGTTAAAAATACAGGAAAGTTTCCAGCATCTCCACCCCCTCCCCCCGATTCCTTCCATTAAATATACGTCTGCAAAGTGAAAGCTGCTTCAAGGCAACACTAATTTAACATACAATTTGTTTAAAGGAACACAATGTGGGGTGCCATTCTGATGCAACCGATTTCAACTTTACAAACCAACTTTACTCTGCAGCGGTACTATATTTTGAGTTTTAAGTTTAAACAGACAATACCTTTCACATGTGTAGCATTCACAGAATTCATTGTTTTCTCCAAAAAACCCATCCCCATAGTAACAAGAAATTTCTTCTCCAGGTTCAATATCTCGTAGAGCTTTTACACATGCCGTATCCCGACCAGTAGACACGAACTGTAAGAAGCAAACCATCAACATGTATTTTTACTTACTTAATCAATTGAACATAAATAATGTAAAAAAACATAAATACACGGGAAAAAAGCTAGTTGAGATGTCATAAACACACCTACCTTACAGTTGGGTCTGCAATCTGAAAAAGATCCAAAATATAAAATTAATCAACTGCTGCTAAGACCTGAAACATGAATAGTTATAGATACCTAAAGTAAGGTTTCATTCTCATTTATCAAACATTCTTCAACTTATTTATTATGGTAACTTATATTTCACTTTTGGGGATAAAAATCATCCTGAGATAATTTGTAAGAAAGGTGTACATTAAAAACACCCATGACAATAAGGACGTATAAGAATCTCTCCCAAAGGGAGGGGCAGAGCAAAGGGCAGTAATAGCATAGGAGGGAATGAAACAAGTTTACCCATCACAGCAAGGGCAAACCAAGAATGAGCAACTTGGAAGTCCCTGAACAGACTCAGAAGTGGAGTGGGCAGAACAAAAGACAACCTGGTAAAATTGTTCTACCTAAAAGAACCCTCCATCTTGTGCAACTGTGGAGCAGAACAAACAGCTGTATGTTTGTCCACAATGCCCTGCCTCAAGTACAGTGGAAGAATTGTTGAAAGCTACAGACAATGTGGTTGCTGTTGCCCAGTTTTAGTCAAAAATTATTTAGCCACTTGTGCTCCTTCTACTTTTATTAGTTTTATACTTACTTATGCAATGCTTTTGACATAAAATAAATAAATTAAGCAACGGTTGGAAAAACATAATACATTCGCTTCTTTGGAAAGAGTAGTGATGGCATTCTGGGTGACTGTAATGATGCTTCGGGCCTAAATAATCTCCAAATTGAGAAATGCATTCAAAATTGCTCCAGAATACAACAGCCAGTCACCTTCAGTTTTCTTCTTTCCCTTCTTACCATGGTTGATGAATGCAGCTGGACCAAGCCATAGCTGAGCACAGTTTTTTCGGGTTGAGTACATAACACTAAAGTCATTCTCTCCATGTCTGAGCAGCATATTCTCTTCTAGTTCAGAGAGTTCAGCAATGCATCCGACCAGCAACTCTATTTTGTCATTACGTTTCCTAAAGGAAGAAATTATGGAATTCAGAAACAATAACAAGTTTAGCCCACATAAAAGTACTTTAAAATACGGCGGCACTTTGCCCCTTTCAGTTTGTTCATTTTTCCACTGGAGAGGCAAACACATTTTGTAGCATATACAGACTATCTAACAGAAATAAATTCTTATCAGTTTATCTTCTGTTTTCACGATTTTACTCTCCCTCCTCATAGTTCAATTTGATTAAAAGCTGGTTAGGATTAGGCCAAGTTCCAAAGATTTTACTTCTATGTGAACCATGAGGGGCAAAGCCTGTGTGCAAATTTGGAGACAGAATCAATATGGAATATATCAGCATTACGTGATATTTTCATTTGATCTAGGTTAGACAGTAAACAGGTAAGAAATGAAATAGATAGGGATGAATGATAGACCCATCCAAACAAGATGGTGATACTGTACATTAAATACCCAACTAAACACTAGACATTGTTCAACTACTAACAATCTATATTAGTTAGCCTTTAGGGTCCAATTGTTTTAATTCAAATTCATGCATGCACTACGATTTTAAATTATGGTATCCTAAGGAATACAAAGTAAACCAGCAATTTTCTCAGCACCACCAGGAAAAGAAGGAGCTATTACATAATACTGCTTTCCAGAAATATCCAGGCTTCTTAGTCCAGTAGGATATAAGAGTAGATGGCACTAAAGCTGTGGAAATGCTCAGGAGTATCAACAGAGTGCATGTTTGTACTAGATGGGATGCAGTTACAGGGGCTGCACACTGTAAAGAAAGGGTCACTGAAGTAGAAGCCGGTCTTTGCAACAACAGAATAAATCCAGTTGTTATTAGTCCTACAGCAATGGTTCTCAACCTGGGGTCCCCAGATGTTTTTGGCCTTCAACTCCCAGAAATCCTAACAGCTGGTAAACTGACTGGGATTTCTGGGAGTTGTAGGCCAAAACACCTGGGGACCCACAGGTTGAGAACCACTGTCCTACAGAATGAAGGAGATTGGTAAATCAATACTTATGTGAGTCCAGTTGATTCTACTGATCTACTCTAGTTGGGATTAGCAACTGGATTTAGCCAATAGTTTCAAATAAGCATGGGAAATGTAGACAAAATTAATGTAACTTTTCTATGGCCACTCTCAGATTCAAAAGATGCAAAAGTGTAGTCCAACATGAACTTACCACTCTTTTGTTGCAACAATTTTGGCTCCGTTTTGCTCTGAAGAGTATCGATTGCATGGTAATATTTCAAATCCACTATCAGTTGCAAACATTCGCAAATAAATAAAGACCTGTAGCAGAAATAAATAAGCAAGAACTGTCGCTCAAAGTGAAGAAATTCTCTTGAAAGATGACTTTTAAATTGTTTGAATGCAAACACCCAAGCCAGAAATGGAGGAGACCACTGACCCCTCCTTTCAAATTCTCAATACAGTGCTATAGAAGTATGTTACATATGGATTTTATAAATCAATTAGTTGACCTTAGCTATGCTCTCATCTTTATGCCAAGTGGAGGGGATACTTCAATATATACTTTCTAGGTATGTCATATGTTCTGCAAGATCTTCTTCATATAATCAACCACATATAACCCTATTTAGATAAAGACTATAATGCTGAAAATAATTTTTAATTGCTCAGGGCCAAGATTGTGTTTTGAAACATCTAAGAAAGTTGTTTTTTTTAGTTTCTTCTACCTTAAATGTAATTTTAATTGTAACAATTAAATTTAATTGTAATTATATCCACACAAATATTTACATATTTCTAAAAAAATGTATTTGTTTTGCTTTAAATTGTTTCAGATTGTGTGGTTGTTGGCTGCCTTGAGTCCCGACAGGGAGAAATACAGGATATAAATAAAATTCATCATCATTATTATCATTATCATCTCCACTTATGATTTGTTCTTTTTTAAGGTATCAGTTTTTGAAATTATCTTTTATTAAATGCCTTACAGGGTCTTAGAAAAGTTATAGTCCAAAATATCTTGGACAAAGTCATCAGTGAACTCTTTCTTTAAATTATTTGTCTTTTCGAACATCTGTCTTCTCAGTTTCTAAGGCTCTATTACCTGTCGTAATGCACAATTATGCTGGTAAGATGAAAACTCCTACATAAAAAACTCCTAATTACTCTGTAGGTGCATAATGGTTACATTACTAAGTCCTATGTTTTCAACATTTCTTACAGCTGAACCAGTCTATCAGAACAATCTTTAATATGAAAGGACAAGTCAGTTATTTTCAAAGTTGTTGCTGATTTTTTTTCTTCATTCCACTCTACCATATGCCTTTTACTTTGTCCTTAAGCTGTGATGTTTTCACTTCACTTCTTCTTGCTGATAATAGCCAAGAAGCCAATTGGTATTTATTACAATCAGAACCAAAGATAAAAAGTATTTTTTTTAAACAAATGCATTTGACTAAAATCTATAATAACCTGTAAAATTACACACTAGCAGTCTGAAATTGGATTAAGTATAAATACACCTACATGTTCTTTGAACAATCTTTCCTGCATTTTGTTCTTGTTAAGAAAATAGTGCCGGGCCCAGTCACCTGCCGTCAAGGACTTGAAGGCTTTTTCCAAGTGCTCATCTTTTTTAAAACGTTCGATTACCTCCTTCAGTTCTTCTTGCCTTCCTTTGATTGGTCGAAACCTAAAAGACAAACAAAAAACCAAAATATCAGTTTGGTCAACTAGATTGTGTTTTATTCACTTACTTTGTATGTTTAGAATAACCGAATCAGGGAGATAATGGTGTCAACAGTTTCTGTACTGCTCTGAGCATTAAAAGAAATAAATAAAACAGAGGTATGTTAGTGTTCATTATTTACAGAAACACTAAATTATTTATTTGGACTTCAGTGTTAGTCTCTAGTAGAGAAAATCTATGAAATGAACCTTAGCTACATGTTGAATTCTCAAATTACCTTTAATTTATTTGAGTCTAACAACAGATTTTAGGTTTTTAAGTTCTGCATTCCAAACAGGATATGGTACATTTGTGTCTCATTAATAGAAATACGTAGACCTTTTCCACTGACGAACTTCTCCTCACTAAATGCTGTTACATTGTTTTGGTCTTGGAAACCCAAATATAGAACATTAGGCCCTCTCCAATTGATTTGTATAGTTGTAAAATATTCTTCTATATTTTGGTTTCCAAGACTGAATCGGTAACACAGCACATGGTCCTTAGAATAACACCTTAAAGATATGCACAGTAAGTTTCACTAACAGCTCTGAGATGGTATATAGAATTAATTGTTTACGCAATTACATTTCTAATCAATACTGTAATGTAGATGACTCCCAACTCTTTGCATGATGACTATACACCTACAAATCAACATTCTAATGGTCCGAGATCACCATAGATATAATCCTGAATAATGGTTGGCTTAACTCTGTGGCAGCCAAACTCTACAAGGAGGTAACTCAGAAACTGCTAACATAGCCTTAACATAGCCTTGCCGTGCATTTACCAAGTGTCCCTCAACCATAGTCCCATCCCAACAGTTAGGCCAGTTCAGGAACAGAACCCGCCACAGCTGTACTCACTGCTATCCTGTATTTCCTGGGACCATTACCCTGCTCTACGTCTTGGAGAAATTAGGGAAAGCAGGGGGAGAGGGGGGATTCCTCCTCTCCCCCTTCCCGTTACCCTAGTCAACATCACTCTAGATTAAAATGGACAGGTAGGACTTCTGTCGTAACACAGAGGGGATTGTAAAGGTGGCCATCAAGTAGCGCTAAACTACATTCAGAACTCGTTCCCACCTCTGCAGTAGCTTGGGGAGTTTCTGTCTGACCCATACTGTGGCCAATCTAACATTTGCTATGCCGAACTGGCCCCAGTTCACTTGTCAATGTAGATTTGTCCTGAAATAGTGTTCCAGCAAAACATTTTAAATGCTGGTTACATTTCTCAAAATTGTTGTTCTCATCACTTCTACTAGACAACTTGGTATCCTCTACATATTTATATGACAACTTTCAAAATCCATGGCAATTAGTCATGCTGTTAGACTCTAGATGTGTAGGTTAGTTCTAGTCTAAAGTCGGCATTAGTTGGCTTACAAAAAGTCATTTCAAATGGTGAAAAGGGCTTTGCTAAAGTAGACATTTCAGACCAGGACACTTCAGAGAAATTCCTCAAAGATGAGTGAGTCTCCTTTATTCAACATTTACATTTGTTACCCCTTAGAAAGAAAAGCAGGGATATTCTGATAAAATTTAGGATAACTAACTCAGATACAGCTAATCTTGGTCAGGAAATGCAGGTGAATGTAGCTATTGGATACATTAGATGAGTCATTTCTAATCAGGATGGGACGATGAGAAAGTCACACCAGGAAATAAGTAAGAGATACAGTCTTCCTTGGCAATGTTTAAGGAGGACTACTTCTAATTTTCACATGAAAGAACCGGGACTATAATAGCTAAAAAAATAGGAATTTTAGTACTTTAATGGGGGTAATTTGGCTTGTCCAGTTTAGGAAAAAAGGAAGTTGGAAGAGGGTGAATAAGGTTTCACTTTTCAAGAATACTGAAATATATTCCAATGCAAATTAATGAATAAAGAGTATAATAAAAGACTGGATAACACTGGCTACAGAAAATAATTGTACCTAATATTTACTTAAAATCGAACTAACCCTAAAATATAAAGATCATCTGCAAATTCAGTTATTTAATTCTAAGAAATATAACAACAATGGATTCAGAACAAACTGTACTGTTAAGTTATCTCAGCAAAATATGTTACTAAGGGTTGAGCATCCCTTACCTGAAATTCCTGGGATGTTTTGGTTTTTGGAGTATCTGTATTTGCATATGCATTGAAGTGTCTTGGAAATGGGATCCCAGTCTAAACATGAAATTCATGTATGTTTCATATGCACATTATATACATAGTCTGAATGTAATTTTATATAATATTTTATATAATGTCATGAAGAAAATAAAGTTTGTGCACATTGAACAATCAAGAAAGCAAAAGTGGCATTTTCTTAGCCACCCCATGTGGACAGTTTTAGATTTTGGAGAATTTCAAATTTCAGAATTCAGGATGAATGCTCAATCTGTACCAAGGATAACAAATATTTTTAAATTACAGTTCTAGCTTATATGTGATCAGGCAGTGGAAAAAACACAATCATATCAAATAATAGCCTTAGCAGACCATTTAACACCTTGGCATATGAATCTCAAAGCATTAAATGGGGGAAGACATTCTACTTGACTTAATTAAAAAAGGAAGGCATCAGCTACACGGCCAATTCTTATATGTCTCCTCTCCAACACTCCAAGTTATTTGATTATTTCAGTTGCTTCCTGAAATTCTGAGAGCCAATAATGCTTTAATGATTTCAGTGTTGGACTATGGGCCCTTCCAGACAAGCCCCATATCTTAGGATCTGATCCCAGGTTTTCTGCTTTAAACTGGATCACGGTATATGAGTCCACACTGCCAGAAAATCTAGGATACACAGAAAACCTGGGATCAGATCCTGGGATACAGGGCCTGTCTGAAAGGGCCATATGACTCTGGAGACCAGAGTCAGACTCCCTGGTCAGCCATGAAAACCCACTGGATGACCTTGGGTTTTTTTTGGTCGTGTCAGGAGTGACTCCTGGTGTGAGAGAATTGGCCGTCTGCAAGGACGTTGCCCAGGGGATGCCTGGATGATTTGATGTTTTTGTCATTCTTGTGGGAGGCTTCTCTCATGTCCCCGCATGAGGAGCTGGAGCTGATAGAGGGAGCTCATCCGGCTCTCCCCGGATTCGAACCTGCAACCTGTCAGTCTTCAGTTCTGTCGGAACAGGGGTTTAACCCACTGCGCCACTGGGGGCTCCGATGACCTTGGTCAAGTCAACTCTTTCGACCTCAGACAAAGGCAAAAGGCAAACCCCCTCTGAACAAATCTTGTCAAGAAAACCTCATGATAGGGTTGATTTAGGGTCACCATAAGTAAAAAAAAAAATCATTTGAAGGCACACATCAAGAACAATTTGAGACACTATATCTGAGCCTTCCGTTTCATTAAAACTATGCAGATTGCCAGAAAGTCGAGTTGGCTTTTTTCTGTGGTTGATTCCACAATGCTTTGCCAATGACGATTTATCAAGCACTGACTGTACTGTTTAGGGAGTATGTTAAAAGGTGTTTAATTAATTTTAATATATCATGGGTACTTCTTTTAACTCCCATGTTTGACTGTTAGTTTTTGTTCATGGACTTTAACCTCTAAGACAAAGGTGGACACTTGCCAAGGACTGGAAGGCTGCACTGGATCTATGGAGACTGTACTCTAAATATTTTCATCATCACCCACTAAAATGGCTATTAGTACTGCCATCGAACCCCTGGAATGCCCCTGTTACTTCATTACAATTTGAGGCCTTTTTGAAGTCCCTCCTCCCCAGGACCAAGTCAGTATGGGTTTTTACTGTCAAGCAGGGTGGGCGAAGAGACCACATCAAAACCAAAATAAAAATAGGAACAGTTTCACATTGAAAGTTGATATAAGTTGTATTTATTGTTTGCTACGGAATAAATAAAATTGTTTTCTTGATAAATCAAAGAATCAAAGCAAATTACCTAGTGTTCATTTTATGTGTTTGAAAACCTAAATATGGATCAAGAACCAAACTAGTTGCTAGGTCATCATTTTCACATAGCTCCTTGGCAGACATTCCAGAGGAAGGCACGTAGCGACTTTGGCCTTCAAATCCCGAACCACCACTACCTGTGTGAATCAAAAGAAATGTCAGTATTAGCTAACAAAGACTTTTGAATCTTAAGGATCATCCTCCTTCAAGAGGTAATCCTATGAGGAACAGGGAAGACCATACAGTTTTATCTAAAACAATAAATGTAGCTAAAATATGCTACATTGGGGCGGGGAGGGGGGGGCATTTGGTATAAACTCCAAACAGTTCTGTTCACTGGAAACATATCTCTCCATTTTGGAATCATAATATACCAGTACTATACAGAATTATATTTAAAGTGTGTCGCTAATACATATGTAATACAATATTCAGTAAAATTATAACCTTTTGTGATGCCATATTCATTACTGAGAGCCAAGCAGATGATATCAATATTGGGTTGTTGTAGGTTTTTCGGGCTGCATGGCCATGTTCTAGAAGCATTATCTCCTGATGTTTTGCCTGTATCAGTGGCAGGCATCCTCAGAGGTTGTGAGATCTGAGGATGCCTACCAGATTTAGGTGAAACGTCAGGAGAGAATGCTTCTAGTACATGGCCATACAGCCCGAAAAACCTACAATAACCCAGTGATTCCCCCTATGAAAGCCTTCGACAATACGATATCAATGTTTTTGTGTAGTGCGATTATGCTAGTTATATATTTATTAGTATCTAACAGATATTTATGATGGTAGGCAACAGTGTAGAAATTCCAAGAAGAAACTGGCCCTCTATCATTCCTTTGCTGATGAGTGCTGTTACGCAAATGTAGACTGTCTGGCATCCTAACTGCCCTCACTTTTCCCATAAAAGATCAAGTTACTCTGCAAGAGGAATATGATGCTTCATTTTACACTTAAAACCTGTCATAGAAACAGGAATGAAAATTTCATTTGATTTTTATATTCGAATTTTTGAATACATTAGAATATTTTGGTAATCACCAGGTCCTGAAAGAACAAGAGGACAGAAGCCAATGTCCCTGGTAAAGATAATGGGATGTCAAGTTGGAAGCAAGAAAGGGGGTTCGAACAACTAGAATGTTACCAGTGTTTCTTGTTCAATACATGCTTACTACACTATTCTGGGATTTGCTTGGACAAAACATTCCAAGCAGTTCTGTAATTAGTCATATGCATGACAGGCTGTGACATCCAATAATTGTTTTCTTTCAAATCTTAGTTTGTGCTGATGATAGAACCATGGGTCTTTACAATTTTTCAATTCAATGTTTAAATAGCTAATCCTTGTGTTATAAATTTAGAATATAAAGGAAAACCAGAATAAAGATTTAATAGTGTTGCCCTATCAGATACTGGGTATCTCAGAACTGATCCCCATGGTACACTGGTGGCTAACATGCATTCTAAAGCACACACATATTTATGCAAATGGTTTCCTCAATGCACTATATAATGATAAGGCTGTGACTTTACATGAATTTCTGGCTCTTGCTCTGAAAAAGTAAACTATCCAAGCAGATCATATGTATGTGTAGTTTGCTTTGTTTGTGAATTGCTGATATAACTGATTTACAAAGTGTCTTCTAGTCACAGAGTAGGAGCAGAATGCGCCAAAGAGTTGTCAACCTCTGTGTATACATAGAATGCAGGGAGGTCTTGAAGGCGGCTTCCATTTTGTCATCTCTGAATTTCCAGATTCTGTACTTACAAAATGAAAATCAGACTATAGTGCAGGAAAGGGCAGAGTATCTGAGCTATCAATAAAGGACTTTATATTACTGTTCTATTTTGAAAAACTATATTTTGCTTTTGGCCTAAGTCTGATGTGAATCTTAAATTGCAAATAATATTTATGTCAAATAAAAGGGGATTATCTTCCCACACTTTGTATTCACACCTAATGATAGCAGTTAGCCTTTACATCACGTAAACTGAATGCGATAGCTATCGATGACCACATAGCTATCGATGACCACAGACATTATTGGGAAGCACTGGTTCAGTGGAAGCTGTTAGACTGAAACCCCCTCAATCTTCACCAGTGGTTATGTTGCTGGGGAGTGACGTGAATTCCTAACACCTGAACAGCAACACATTTACTCACTGAGCTCCTACCCCTCATTATATGGTACATTAGGTTGGTAAAAGGAAAGCTATTTCCAAACCAACCAGATATGAGCAGAAATTGCACCCATATGTCCAGAAGAACACTGTGAATTCAAATTGCTCTGTTTCTAAATATGGAATGTAATTTCCTGCCTACCTCCCAGATAGAATTTAGACTGAACAAACAGGAGAATCTAGCAAGAACAACAGGACTACAAACTACATCATAGTGAAATAAATGGAAAACCTTCCACTGAATTTAAAGCTTATGAATTTATTCATATTCACTTGTATTGTTGGGATGCATCATTAATGTGTGGAAAAAATGGATTTTCTACCCCTACACATGAAGCATTCAACACAATTTCTCGTTTAACTAATATAGAACAACATCAAACAGTTCACATATGAGCTTTCATTGAGAATTAGGTTTATTTCAGAAAAAAAGGTTATATGACATTAATCTTTCATGAAATAAACAGACTTATTAACCAAAACAATATAAATATATACAAATACAACTTTGATGAAATTGAAGAGGTGCGCAATAAAATTCCACAAGAGAAGCAAAAAATACAAATAATGAAGTTAGATTGTTCCTATCACGTTTGCTTATACATACATCTGCTTGACCGCCTCTCAACTCCATTTCTGCCAGTCTTTGGATTTTCTTTTCCAGGGTGCTGTAATTTGGACTGGTTCTGATGGTGCTCATTAGATAACCTGCTTCCATTTCTCCGGCCATTCACTACCATGTTCTTGGATTCTCCCAACCACTTCATTCCCACAGACAATTTGTCCCCGTTGCATTTAGTCCTTCTTCTAAAGACTTTAAGAAGTTAATTGTAGTTCAGCTTCCTAATAGAAAAAAAATGAACAGAAAAGACAAAATATTAAAACTCAGCTATAATGAAAAACTCCTCTGTACAAATATTTAGATAGCTAATACGTGAGCAATAACATTAAACATTTTGTACTCCATACAATAATATCCAAAGGTCAAATATATCTACTAAAACAAAGGAGTTCAGTAAACAAGATTTAGAATTCTAGAAGCTTCTTGCAGATAAACTAAGGGATGCTCACAATGGTTAATCTACACAGGTTTATGAGAAATATTGATCAACCACACATAGTATTCACATATCTTCTTTTTGCTCCATTTATTTTCATAATATCTAATTATCCAAAATACTTTATTCAGTTTTATAATAGTAACAGAATGGTAGGAGAAAAAGTGAAGCCAATATAGGCATTGTCCTACACTTTGTAGCCATTAATAAGAGGGGATGCTGTTCTCAAAAATGGAGCTCAACAATCTACAAATGGAATTGATGAAAAGTTGTCCAAGCTTTTTCTAAAGGGCTCTCATTGTGTTTCACCCTTCCCAGCCATAGTTATAACTCTTAATGCAATTTCCCAGATGTATTTAACCCCGTCGTGTCGCAGCAAGCTAAATCTCTGAGGTGCAGAACTTGCTGACCAAAAGGTTGGTGGTTTGAATCTGGGGAGCAGGGTGAGCTCCCGCTGTTAGTCACATGTAAATGTGAGTAGATTGATAGATACCACTTAGGCGGGAAGATAACTGCGCTTCATGCAGTCATGGCCAAGGAGGTGTTTACAGACAAACGCTGGCTCTTCGGCTTAGAAATGGAGATGAGCACCACCTCCCAGAGTTGGACATAATTAGACTTAATGTCAAGGGGAAACCTTTATTTTTTACTTATGTACACACTTCCCTGAAAGTTATCTTGCTCTTGCCTCTAGAAAGCATTCAAATCTTATGCAACTATATTTGTATATCCATCTTCAAAATAACTCCATGTGATGTAATTTGGTGTTTCTATAAGGGGACGCAGAAGTACACATGTGAGAGAACCTCAAAATGTAATCATTAATACTCATTTTCATTTCTGCTCAAAAAGAATCAATCCTGAAAAAATGAAAAATATCTACAATGAAAAACGGAAACCATGTATTTCACACAAAATACTAATAGACAAAGAAAAGCTGTGGAAACCGCAAAGATATTTGGCAACTACCCCCCCCCCCCCAAAAACCCCCCATCATTTGAATTTAAACACAAAACATGGATATATTACCATCCAACTCAAGCAACAATGTCACCTAGAACAGTGTTTTTTGGGCTATTCGAAAAGGGGATCTGGCACATACCAGGTATGTGCCCATTGGCTACAACTGGTTCTTTCCTTTCTGGAAATTATCTGATGACAAGCAACCCATGGCTCAGGCACTGGTATGGGTCTAGAGCAGGCATGCAAATTGTTACCCTCCAGTTGTTTTGTCCTCTAACTCCCAGAAGCCCTAGCCAACTTGTCCAATGATCAGGAATTCTGGGAGCTGAAGTCCATAACACCTGGAGGCTGTGCAGGTCTGGCCTAGAAACTATCACTTTAAGCAGCACTGACCTAGAAATTAACACAAACCAAGAAAAAAAAACCCCAACAACAACTATGGGTGTAATCAAATTTAAAAGCTGATCAGCAGTAGATCACTCATTCTAATTACACATTTTGTGGCTGAATGCTTGTAAGTTTGGAAGCAAATCAGAGACACAGGAAAAAGCAAGTTTTTATAATATTGTATTATTATTAGTATTATATTGTATTATATATATTGTTTTTAACAAATTAACCTAGATAAGCAGTTACATTCTGATGACCTAAGTGGAATAAATTCATTAAATCCATTAAAATACATATGTTTTTAACAGTGCTATAAATTCATCATTGGCTAAACTCTACTCCAATATTGATGTACTGATAGTGATGCAGTGCCTATCAATATACCAGTGTGTAAGTGGTTGTACAATCATATCATTGATACATCAGAAGATTCTTCTTTGTTACAACATTCGCATCCTTTCAAGAGAACAAATCATAACAAAGAACATTTTTCTACAGAATACAACCATGCCACCTACAACTCAAACAGCCATTCGGAGCCTTTTGTTGCAGACAAAATATGAATCCCCAAATGGTTTCTTCTAGATTCAGAAAAATGACTCAAACAGTATGAATGCAATAGATAATCGGATTCTGGTTTAACATCAACAATATCCAAAAATGAAAGAAGACAGCTAAAATTGGTTGAATAAAGTTTGTCAACACATTGGTATTCACTTACAGCAATGGTCTGAATAATCCACACTAGAACAAAAAGTATCTATAGCTGTAAGAGTTCCCCCTACCAAGGAAACCCAGATAAATTTTTGTATGTGAGTTTCAAGAGAGATAGCAATACACCTGAATGTGTATATGCCTGATATAAGAAATAATATAAAATTTATTTATTTAATTTGTATGCAACCTTTTTACCAGAGTGGTACCTAAGGTGGCTCCCAGAAATAGTAAAAAATTTATTTATATATCTCACTATTATAAAATAACTAAAACTATCACATTAAAGAGTGTAAAATAATTTAATATGTATACAAAAGTTAAAAAATAAAACACATAGCACAATAAGAAGCCTCCATGCTTGCACATTAAAAACCTGCTTCAATAACAAAAACGTATTTTCCTACCCGTTAAAAGGGTAGCAGGGAAGAAGGCAAACTAACCTTCCATGAAAAGGTCCCTGGCTGCAGAAGCAGCTGCTGCTAAGATTCTCCCAGGTTTTCCCTTCCACACAGCTGAATAAAATGCCACATTTTCCGCTTTGAACAGGAATATATGGTAGTGTGGACTCAGATAACCCAGTTCAAAGCAGATTTAATGGGATTTTCTGCCTAATATTCTGGGTTATATCAAGGGCCCTAAGTGATCCTGTGATGGTAATAGGAGGAAGAGAAAACTCTTCTCTATAGACCTCAGAACTCTGATGGGTTTATATGGGGATGTATGTGCCTCCTGATAAATATTAAAGAAAAATACAAGAAACTTTAACAATATAAACCAACTAGTATTCCATTTCTTGCATGAAACAGGATGAAAAATTACACCACTAGCCAGACACTCAGGCAGATTTCCACATGCAAATCAGACGTAAACCTATGGTTAAAATTTTCAGCATCACCACTTGTTCTTCAAACATTACTAGAGATGCAAAAAGTATTTCCAAATGTTCTCATACCTGAAGAAAGACAAAGTTAAAATAATGGTCAGTTACTGAGACTTTTCAATTCTGCCTAATAAAAAAATGGCCAGTGCTCCTTCCAGTTTTTGTGCAAAATGCAATAATTGTGAACTTTTCTAAATAAGAAGGCTTGAAATTCAAAAAGTCATTTAAAAAAAACAGAAAATGAAAACAAAATTCTCTTAATCTTCCACAAAAGGAAACAAGTTTTGAAAGTTTTATTTTTGAATGTGGGAACACAATAAAATATTATCTCCATTCATAGTTACTGAGGATTTGTAAGTCCCTATTCTCCGCAATTCAGATATTCAACAAAGCTCAATATACTGAATGACACAGAATATCACATTCATGAAAGTATCATTAACACATGTTCAACCACACTTGAATCCTCTCTTTCATCTAGTGAGCTCACTACAGAGACTGTGAATGACAGCTTAATCCTAACTATATTATTTACCTGAAATTAGGTACCAAAGATTTCAATGGAATTTATTGTCAAGAAAAGATGAACAGGGATGTAGCCTAATGCCATGGTACTCACCTCAGCTATTTCATTTATAAATGACTCAAGATAGTATTTTAGCTACCAAGTCAACTAGCACCTCAACTTGTAAAATCAAGCTAACATTCCAAGTTAAAAGAAAGCCTCTCTAATAATATCTTCCAAAGTTATACACCCTTACTTTATTGAAGATTACACTAAACTGAAAAACTTTGGGAATTCAACAAAATAACAACTTATTGAGCTAATAACACAGAACCTTATAATCTCTAGCAACACTTCTGCTGTTTCAGGAAACACTAAGTGCCACTATACTCCTGCAAGTTCAAACATTCCAAGACAAATGGTATTTCAAACTGATCCAAAATATCCTGAGAACCTATTCATATTCCACCTCTTCTGATAACCTAGAACTATATTAAAGTTCTAATAGTGACAGAGTGAGTTCTTCATGACTCAGAAAATATGAATACTAATGACATATGTTTAGGCAATTAAAAAAAATACTAAATTACATTACAAACACAATGTCAAAAGTAATCCTATACCAAGACAAACTGTTTAAGATGAAATTGTACACGAGTTTTCGCCACATATCAGAAACTGAACAGTCTGTAATGTTTGCAATAAATGCTAAGATTACCCTACTGTAAAATGAAAGGTACAAAAGCAAATAGCCTCCTTTTTTGCTTTAGTTCTATGGAGTTTGCAATCTAATGCTAGAGATAGCTTAGACCACAGTACTTCAGTCATGCAAAATCAAGGTATTGATAGCTTACCATCTAGTAAGTCTTTGTATTAAACTTAAAAGAAATACATAGAAGGCAAAGTTCAACTCATTGCATTTATTTCATGTACCAAAATAAAACAAAAACAAAACAGAGCTCAATCCTTAACAAAAACAAACAAACAAATACATTAGGTTCACATATTCCACGAGTTCATGTTGCAGTTGCAGTTATACGCATAGTCCTCCTCCATGGGCAGTGAAGGACCTGGCTCTATCCATGCTGAGCTCCCCTAATCAGTCCCACTGCAAATGCCAAATCCATCAGAAAGCCCAGCTGCATGAAGCCATAAACCTCCCTCTGCTGGGAAAGAAATCTGTCTCTCTCCTCCACAAAGAGAAGCAACAGACTGCAGTTAATACTTCTGTCTACCTAGAAAGGAGTCTGTCTCCTTTCTGGTGGACAGAAGTGACCAAAGTGGGGCAGGATTTCTCTCCTCAGAGAAAAGGCTCCATCTCCTTTTTCGGCAGACAAAAACACAGGTAGGCTTTGGTCACTTGTGTCTGCAACCCTGTCCCCAGAAAGTGAGAATGGGGAATTTTTGGGAGATGTGAAATTTTCCCTTTCTTTGCTTGTGCAAAACAGACACTTGCAGCATGCAGAAAGAGAAACAGCTGGCCTCACATGCCACTTCCCTTACCCTGTGGATCTGGCTCTTCTTTCACTTCCTGTGTCCTAGCAATGCCTGTTTCCCCAGGGCAAAAGAAGGGAGGTACCTGGAGGAAGACAGGAAAACTATGACATACTGGATCTGCTGGATGAATGATTTCATGAATGTGCCTGTTCCTCTTCTCATTTGACACTTGCTTCTGTTTCCCTCAGCACCTCCTTTCTATTGCCAGGGCAAAATAAGGGTTTGCTGCATGCAGGAAGAGGAAAAGAAGCCGGTATCGACAGGTTAAGTAGAGTAATATGTAGGGATAGCTGCTTCTTCACCTTAAAAGGGACTGGCAACAGTTGCAACTCATTCCCCATTTTTCCACTTTGTATGAGAGCTGCAAGCCCAACTGCTGCAAAAGTGGAGGGATGGTTATAATACTGCACAAAACCTAAAGAGAGCAACAATACCATCACAATCTAGTAAAAAAAGAATTGCAACTTCCATATGCAGTGGGCTCTTGGTAGCTACTGAGGTTTGTTTTCCAGACCTCTCATGGATACAAACATCTGTGGATGCTCAAGGCCTGTTATATACAATGGTACAGTAAAACTGTGTCCTTTATATCAAGATTTACCTTTGGAATAATTTTATGTTTCCAGACTGTGGATACAGAGGAGTGCCTGTACATTTCAGGTTTCAAACTAGAAACATAATATACTTTTGACAGAAATCCAAGTAAGGAAGATGTTTATTTTCATTGTTTTGGTGTTATCTGCACATCTTTTTTTATAGAGCTGAAGTACTATGAAGGTCTCTTCCACTTTCAGAAACACAAAGAAGCACAAGAAGTATTGCTTTGATCTTCCTTTTTCATTTGTTGTTGAGGTATCATGACATTAAGATGAAATAGTCAAGGTATTGGGTAGTCTATGGCTCACAACATAAATATTCCTACTAGTTTCTACTAGTTCTTTCTTCAATTTTTACTTGTACCAGAACTCCTAAGGCTATAAATTTAGATGTAAAGGATGCTGTTTTAAAGAAGCATTATTTTGCAGATATCCTTGAGTTGTACAGATATGTATGATTTGAATGTAAAATCCTGTATATATATTTACCTTCTTCCGACTTTCCCAGCTAGTTGTAGAGCTGACCTATACAAGAACAAGTGGAAGGAGAGAGAGAAGGAAGCCTTCAACAAACCACTTGACAAAAACCAAGATCAAATCACGGGAAGATATTCTACAGTTCAGCAATTCAACTTGTTAGGAAAGTAGTAAGAGTTGGTGTGATATGCTGAGATGTCTGCGTTAACACAAGGTTAACTGTGCCAGCACAACATCTGCAAGGCCTACTGCACTGGCACAGCAAGTGCAGCTATCATCAACACTTTTGGGCATTTACAAGACACAGAACTAGTAGAGGGAAGACAGATTATGGAATGACCAGTGTGCTAAAAGCCTCTCAGGAATGGTGGAATTAACTACTTTAGTTCAATTCTACACAGCAGCAAAAAAGCCAGTATCTAGAATGAAACAGATTTTTGCTGTTTTACCATGCAGTATCAAATCATTCACCTCCTCTGCTTGACATCCAGCCTGATTAAGTGTTCTTGAAAACTCAAAATCTCTCACAGTATACTGTATTTTGTGTTGCATTACTTGGCTCTAATAAACTTTACTAGGACTAAATAGTATCAGAATGTCTTGTTGTTTCCATATTGTGCACTATAATAGTTTCACATATCTGTATAGTCAAGGTGCTCATTTACAGATTTAAAAGAAAAAAAATTAAGAACCATGCCAAAATATGAAATAACTGTTTCTTTGTTTGTTAATTGGCTATACCTCAGTTAACAAAGCATCTTTAAAGGGAGAGCTTTTTGTAAAGTCTTTTTTATGGCCACCCAGCCCTTACTCTTCCCTTTGTCCTCATAGAAAGGTGTTTATTTATTTATTTGTAGAGCCAGCACCGGGAAGTTAGTGAAGGAGGGTTGGAGAAGAAGCCTTGTCTGCAATAAATAATAAAATAAAAACTTGAGCAGGGAAAAATGGAATCTAGCCAATACTATTCTAGCTGCATGTGCCTGCTTATGACGTGCAAGTAAACAAAAGCTGCTACCAGAATCTCTCAGTAAAAAGTGCAGAAAGAGAAAAGCAGATAAGTCTGTCTCACCAGCTACTCCAGCACAGATTTATAAGGCTAATAGCTACCAAAATGAAAATTGTAAGAAAAATGGAGACTGGTAAAAGAAAAGAAAATCCCTAGATAAATTTTGGAAGAAAGTAGTCTCTAGGAGGTTAAAAATGTTTTTGCTTACTTATGCAAGGCTTAGTAATTTTGTTTCATATTCTTGTTCTGGATAAAATATTCACTGAAATATATTTAAGGGCTTACTGAAACTTTTTCAAGTGATGTGAAACCTATGAAACATATCCCTATTATTTCAATGCTATTTCTGCTTTTGGTCAAATTTTCAGTTAAAAGAATAAAGCCCAGGAACATAATTGCTGTGTTAATTTGGATATACCCATACTATTTACAAGCCAGATTTAAAAATAATAAATTCTCACAATCCTAGGTCCTTTTAGGAATATTCTTAAAGAAGATTTCACTCTCCGAATATTGAGAATCCAAAGATTTGCAAGACATTTGTGTAGCTGGATTTATAATATAGTAAAGGTAAAGTTTTTCCTTCGACATTAAGTCTAGTCATGTCCAACTGGGGGTTGGTGCTCAACTCCATTTCTAAGCAAAAGAGCCAGCATTGTCCACAGACACCTCCAAGGTCATGTGGCCAGTATGACTGCATAGAGTGCTGTTACCTTCCCGCTGGAGCGGTACCTATTGATCTACTCACATTTGCATGTTTTCAAACTGCTAGGTTGGCATAAGCTGGGGCTAACAGCGGGATTCAAACCAGCAACTTTCACTCAGCAAGTTCAGCAGCTCAGTGGTTTAATCCACTGCGCCACTGGGGGCTCCTTATAATATACAAATTCTAATGTATCAATCTGTTCTATGGCAGGAGTGCTCTGATAATTGGAATATTGAGAATTTTAGTCTCATAACAGGGAGAATTTATAATTAACACCTTAGAATATGCAAGGATCAATTATATCATCCTCATAATTCTCTACATTAAACTAATAACTACATTTTCCATGTTCATATGTGAAGATTACGAGGAAAGATTCTTGGAGCACTTTTATTGTGCCGCTGTATATCTAAAGTTGTGAACAATCAAAAATATTAAAGTACAAGAAATGTAATTTATATTAAAATTAATATGGAATAAAAATATGTAATGGACACCGAGAGTTATAAAGATTTAATTAGGAACTACATCTGGGATTTGGTACTTTTTGAAATAAGGGTTTTATTAGTCAATTCACAGGTTCAAGGTTTTTTAAAACTGCTTGAATTCTCTAACAATCAATAAAATGTTTACACATTTGCAAGCCTTTAATTTAAGTTTACACAGATGCAACACCTACATTTCCAATCAACTGTCAAATCAAATGCCAAAACAGAACTTCTCTTAAGATGCACAGAACAGTGAATATAATGTTTGCCTGTATGGTTTAAATGACTGAGATAAAATTGAATCCTAAAAGAATGAACTTCTCATGTATAACCAAGTGTTAACAATATCAAAGCTATACATACGTAAAATTATAAAATCTCACTTCAACTATTTTCCATGTTTGCATGGTTTTGAAAATTACACATATATACTGAGTTTAACTTTTAAAACTCAACATTTTATATTTCTCTGTTCTTACAGCAGATGTACTTAGGCTATTACATTTGTCTGCAAGTGGATTTCAAATGACTTATCCAGTAAATGACTCCATGAAACAATTCTCAAAAGATAAAAACTATGGCTGGATCTATATTGTCCTATATCCCAGGATCTGATCCCAGATTATTTGGCAGTGTAGATTCATATAATTCAATTCAAAGCATATAATTTGGGATCAGGTCCTGGGATATAGGGTAATGTAGATCCTGCCTATAAGGCTGGAGAATAACCAGTTGTTCTAATGTACTAGCTCCCTATGGACTGTTTTTGCTTTGGGGGAACATTTTGTCAGTGAGGAGCCTCTACAGCCTAGTATGATCCTGGAAGTTCAAGATTTTATTGCTTGTGAAAATTAATCTTTGTCCACAGGGAACACATAGTCATCCCCATCAGTGTAAAGCACCATCTATACTGAGAGTTCTCAAATTTTCTAACTTCTGAGAACACATTCCGCATTGATATCAGCCACTGAACTTGCATATTTTTCAACATATTCTGGTGGCATTTTAAACAATTGATCAGTTAAATTTATTTCCTGTCTTTTATTTATTTATGGCATTAAAGGCAGCTAGCTATAAAATTCAAGCATGCACAGAAACATGGTTATAATATAGTTATAATAAGAACAACAGCATTAACAGATTAAAAAAACCTACAGAAACACTCAACCTATTCGAATTTAGTCAATACCAAGCAAACTGAAATGCTTGGCCGAGCCTCCCCCACTGGCAGAATGAAAGAGAGCAAGGGAACACAGCCTCATTTGCTAGGGAAAACCAGGAAAGTCAACTAGGGAGCTCTTTCTCACATCTCTACAAAATGTGACTGTGACAGAGAAGGGACAAAGACAACTGCAAATATCCTGAACCCAAAAAGGCACTTTCAACTGTGTCTGTGAGTAGACCAGTGCAGCTCTTGTAACAAGACAGTGGCATGCCTCCAGTGAGCAGTCCCAATCAACAGTATGGCCACAGCATTTGAGAACTGATGACGTTTCCAGACACTTTACAGAGAGCGCCTCCCACAAAGTGTTTGACAGCAGTCCAAATAGAAAGTAACTGAAGCATGAACATGTAAAGCCAGGTCTACTATCTCCAGAAATGCCTCACACACACAACTTCTACAAGATATTGCCTAAAGTATACTGGGTCACACCATTACTTTGCATGAAGTGACTATGTATTCACCTGCTGAAGAAACTGCAGTATTTGGCAATCTGTTTGTTAGGAAAGCATTTTCGCTATTAGTTATGTTTTTTGTTAAAGAATCCTACAAACCTTTTTTGGGAACCAGGATTCTCTGGAATGCAGTCTGAAAACAAGTATTTATTTATTATTTATTTATGCTATTTCTATCCCGCCCATATCAGCCCAAAGGCGACTCAGGGCGGCGTGTATATCATGTCATTCTGTCTCCTACTGCCTTAATCATGGATTTGTTCATTTTATCAAGACTTATCCTTGAATTTTCAGCTATGATTGTACCATAGAGAACAATAATGGCATAGGGTTGTTAAATTTTTCGGGCTGTATGACCATGTTCCAGAAGCATTATCTCCTGACGTTTCACATGCATCTATAGCAGGCGTCCTCAGAGGTTGTGAGGTCATGAAAGCCTTTGGCAATACAATAATGGCAAATTTTCTACTCACTAAACTAGTCAGTCTCAGTATTTTTCCTACAAGCAAATACAGCAATGTTATCTGAAACCAAGGGCTCTTTTACACTGCCATATAAAATCCACATTCTCTGCTTTGAACTGAATTATTTGGCAGTGTAGCCTCATATAATCCAGTTCAAGGCAGATGTGGATTATGGGCTTTGATAATCTGCATTATATGGCAGTGTAGAAGGGGCCCAACATTTTGAGGAAGCAGTGGAGCAAAAATCAATGTCCAGACTGTACTTGGGAGAGAATTTGTCTCATTTTGCCATCCAATAAAACCTAGCCACGCATTTGTAAGTGCAGACAACCAATGGGGTATTTTTTTTTCTTCATCAATCAGATGTCCACAGATTAAAAAACCACACATTTCCTAGCTTTAAACACACACAGTTTCTGTACGGGGGAGGGGACTCCTGCACTTAAACCGTGGTAGTTCAAATGAGTGCAGCAAACTTCTCTTGCTTCTTGGCCGGATCAGGGAGGCAAATCTACTACGGGACTTTACTTTCCGCAGCTTCCCTGAATCTATGTCGCCCCTTACAGGTCGATCCGGGAACCACAAGCCCCCGGCTTCTCCACTCGAGTCAGCCCTGCCCAAGACAGTGGCTGCTGCTTTGTACGTCGGGCGCTGTTCCCCAAAGCCACCCAAGTGGGCTTTCAACCGCCTGTTTACACAAACCCAGTGCAGGAATCATCCCTCCAAAGAGATACAAGCAAACACCCCTCCACAAAATGCCCAAGAGCATCCGGGAGATGCCAGCTGTCATCATCGCCATCGCCGCCGCCCTACGGACGAGAATGGAGAGATGCCAGAGTCACGAGGGGGCTGCGTCGCTTTCTTCGGGCCTCGCCAAAACTTCAGGCAAACCCAGCCCCTCTCATACAGCTGCATAAAATCCCACATTACCTGCTTTGAACTGGAATATATGGCAGTGTAGACTGGGCTAACCCAGTTCAAAGCAGATATTGTGGGATTTTCTGCCTTGATATTCTGAGTTATATGGCTGTGTGGAAGGCCCCCCAGTGACACCTCACGATTGATCGCCCCCCGGGTGTGCCTTGAGCCCAGAAAGTCTGGAAGGGCATCCTGTGGCCGGTGCCTCCCCTGTCACTAAACAGAGAGGCCGAGGCCTGGCTGGCAAGGCCCTTCCACACAGCTGTATAAAATTATCTGCTTTGAACTGGGACATAGGACAGTGCGGACTCAGGGCCCTTTCACACAGCCATATAACCCAGAATATCAAGGCAGAAAATCTCACAGTATATGCTTTGAACTGGGATATTTGGGCCCACAGTCATATATTCCAGTTCAAAGCAAATAATGTGGGATTTTATTCAGCTGTGCGGAAGGGGCCTCAGGACCCTTCCACACAGCCCTATATCCCAGGATATCAAGCCAGAAAATCCCACATTGTCTGAGTGTAGACAATGCAGATACTGTAGGATTTTGTGCCTTGGTATTCTGGAATATAGGGCTGTGTGTTAGATCACCCAGTTCAAAGCAGACATTGTGGGATTTCCTGCCTTGATATTTTCGGTTATATGGCTGTGTGAAAGGGCACTGGGTTATCTGTGTCCACACTGCCATATATTCCAGTTTAAAGCAGCTAATGTGGAGTTTTATTTAGCTGTGTGGAAGGGGCCTCGGCTCCCCCAGTTCAAAGCAGATATTGTGGGATTTCCTGCCTTGATATTCTCGGTTATATGGCTGTGTGGAAGGGCCCCGAGGAGTCCCAGGGGTGGCCCGCACCCCCGCAGTGAAGGCCCCGGCCCGAAGCAAGCAAGCAGGGATGCAGGAGAAGCCCGCAGCGCCGCCACGAGTGGTCCTTCCCGGGCGACACGGGCCCCGCCGCCCCTGGAGGCCAAGGCGCCCCGAGGGAGAGAAGAGGGGGGGCCGGGCAGTCCTTCTCCGCCTCTTCCCCCTTCCCTTGGGGAATACCCCCCCCATTTGTGCCCCCCTCCCAGGCCCCTCCTTGCGGGGCAGACCCCTCCCCGTCCCCCGTGGGGCCCCGCTCCTGCCCCCCTCCCTCCGCCCAGAAGGACCCGGCGCCCCCCCCCGACCCCCCCCCCGCCCGCCCCTGGCCCTCACCTCTGCCTCTCGGGGGGCCCCCGGGTCCTCCTCTCCGCCGCCCGCAGCCCCTTCGGTCCCGAGCCGCAGCCTCCGCCGCCCAGGATTCCGGCCAGAGGCGGGCGGGGGGGAGAAATTAATCATAAAAAAATAGTAATAATAATTCCAAGGGGGGAAAAATGGCGGATTAAAATCCAAGATGGCGGCGCCGAAGAAGGGCGAGCAGTGCGGAGGCCGCTCCCTCCAGATCCCTCCGCCAAGCCCCGCGAGAAAGAGTCCCGGGCCCCTCGGCGGCCTTGGCCCTCCCTGCGGAGGAACGGCCCCGCCCGCGTCACGGCCCTCTGCGCAGGAGGAGGAGGCGGCCCCCAACCCTGGGCCCTTCGCTCCGAGGAGAGCCCTTTGTCTTCCTCCGAGGCGGCCGGCTTCCTCGCGCGGCGGAGAGGAGCGACTCCCGCGAGTGGGCTCCCCGGCGGCGGCAGAAGCGGAGGGACACGGCGGAGGGATACGTCGTCTTCGGAGTTCTGCCTTCACCTTCGTGCTTTGACTCCAGCGGCCCGAGCGAGGTCCGGCCGCAGCCGAGCCATCCCCGCCTGCAGTCTCTCTCTCTCTCTCTCTCTCGCCGGCGGAGGGACACCGTGACGCGAAGGGAGGAGGCAGAGGCGGAGTGCGGCTCGCAACATGCGATGACGCTGGCGGAGGGATACGCCTACGGGCCGCATCAACCTGACCTGCTCAGAACAGGGGGGAGTGGGGAAAAGAGTCCCCTGCACACACAAGCCCTTGAAATGTGTCAGAGTGTGAAGCGCCTCACGATCCCCACAAGTATTGACCCTCACAACAGAGGTCCTCTCCTCTTATAGCCCGCCAGGGGGTCCCTAAATAAGGCCGACATTGCGGGTGCCTGAGGGGAAAAGGAGAAACGCATCCAAGAAGGGCTTGTGTCCAGCAAGTTGTGGAGGCCTCAAGTTAATAGCCTCCTGCCGCCGGAATGCAATGCCCACGCGAATCCTACGGATTCTCTACCCTCCAGGGTCTCACCTGCCTCGCCTTTCTGCAAAGGGGGAAGGACGGGGGCAGGTGCGAGGAAGCTTCCTGCCTGGAGAAAGCAAGCAAGGCTCCTTGGGAAGACCTCCACCCTTCTCCCAACAACACCCCAAAGCGCCACATCCCCCTTTGCATAGGTTTCAGCCACGTTTAAATAACTTGGGCCTCTTCCCTGTTCCGTGAGGGCTGCGGGCCTTTCGCCTTGGGCCTTTTAAAGGGCCTGCTTGGCATCGATTCGGTCGCTAGCGCTTGGGTTTCTATCCCCTCCTTTTCTTCCATTGTTATGCACACGAATGCCTCGCCTTTCTCTCTGAGGCCCCTTCCACACAGCTGAATAAAATCCCACATTCTCTGCTTTGAATTGGGTATATCGCAATGTAGACTCCGTTCAAAGCAGATATTGTGGGAATTTTCTGCCTTGGTAATCTGTGATACAGGACTGTGTGGCAGGCCCCTGAGGGCCCTTCCACACAGCCCTATATCCCAGACTATCAACGCAAAAACACAAACCACAATATCTGCATTGAGATGGGTTATGTAAGAGCTCTTCCACATGGCCCTATATCCCAGACTATCAAGGCAGAAAAAGCCACAATATCTGCTTTAAGCTGGGTTATCTAAGGGCCCTTCCATACAACCCTATATCCCAAGAATATCTGCTTTTAATTGGGTTATCTGAGTCCACACTGCCATACATTCCAGTTCAAAGCAGATAATGTGGGATTTTCTGCCTTGATAGTCTGAGATACAGGGCTGTGTGGAAAGGCCTGAGTCTTTTCAGTCACCCCTTCTTTCTCTTTCACCTTTGCACTTTATATATATTCACATTGCGTTTCCCCGGCTAATGCCACCTTGGGCCACACAGCCATATAACCCAGAATATCAAGGCAGAGAATCCCACAATATCTGCTCTGAACTGGGTTATCTGAGTCCACATTCAGATAATGTGGGATTTTTTGCCTTGATATTCTGGGATATAGGGCTGTGTGGAAGAGCTCTTATTCAGCTGTGTGGAAGGGGCCCCGGTCAGGGATTATTATAGTACTTTATCAAGCAAGTAGACCTTCCCTTGAGCAAGAAAGTGCCTGCATAATATCCCGTCCATGGGCGGTCTGCACCTGCCAAGCTGTCCTGCTTCTCTCTTTCTTTCTTGTTTTGAATCTAAGGGGCTTCCCACTGCTCACTTTTTTCCAGTTGCTTTTGGAGCCAAGATAGAGGTTTCTTTCTACCATGCCTTAATAGCTTAACATTAGGGATCCAACAAGGGGAAAGGAAGGGATCTGGAGAAAATTAAAGGAAGAGCCAGAGGAAAGCGTGCCAGTCACTAAACTGCCCCCATCCTGTGCATAGATAGCAATTTTGCTAATGTGGAGGGTCATTTTGTTTCTAGCTTGGAGGTGTGATTTTTTAAAAACCTTTTGATCTATTTTCCAATAAACCACAGCACTACAATGGAGGTGCTTTTAAAAAAAACTGGCCTTGTTTCTATGTCTTTAACAACAACTTAATATAAAGAAATACCCAGTTTCTCTGAAAATAAGACAGGGTCTTATATCAGTTTTTGCTACAAAAGATGCGTTAGAGCAGGCAAGGACAAACATTCTAATTTGGGGGCCACATGGCAGGCCTTGTTAACAACAAGGCAGCAGGAGACGACGGGATCCCAGCTGAACTGTTTAAAATCTTAAAAGATGATGCTGTCAAGGTGATGCATGCCATATGCCAGCAAATATGGAAAACACAAGAATGGCCATCAGACTGGAAAAAATAAACTTATATCCCCATACCAAGAAAGGGAAATGCGAAAGACTGCTCAAACTTCCGTACAGTGGCCCTTATTTCTCATGCCAGTAAGGTAATGCTCAAGATCCTGCAAGGAAGACTCCAGCAATACATGGAGCGAGAGTTGCCAGATGTCCAAGCTGGGTTTAGGAACGAGAGGAACGAGAGACCAGATTGCCAATATCCGCTGGATAATGGAGAAAGGCAGGGAGTTTCAGAAAAACATCTACTTTCTGCTTCATTGACTATTCTAAAGCCTTTGACTGTGTGGATCATAATAAATTGTGGCAAGTTCTTAGTGGGTTGGGCATCCCAAGCCACCTTGTCTCTCTCCTGAGGAATCTGTACAAGGACCAAGTAGCAACAGTCAGAACTGACCACGGAACAACAGACTGGTTCAAGATTGGGAAAGGCGTACGGCAAGGCTGCATACTCTCACCCAACCTTTTTAACTTGTATGCAGAACACATCATGCGATGTGCGGGGCTTGATGAATGCAAAGCTGGGGTGAAAATTGCTGGAAGAAAAATTAACAACCTCAGATATGCAGATGACACCACTCTGATGGCCGAAAGCGAGGAGGAGCTGAGGAGCCTTCTAATCAAGGTGAAAGAAGAAAGCGCAAAAGCTGGGTTGCAGCTAAACATCAAAAAAACCAAGATTATGGCAACAAGAATGATTGACAACTGGGAAATAGAGGGAGAAAACGTGGAGGCTGTGACAGACTTTGTATTTCTAGGTGCAAAGATTACTGCAGATGCAGACTGTGACCAGGAAATCAGAAGACGCTTACTTCTTGGGAGGAGAGCAATGTCCAATCTCGATAAAATAGTAAAGAGTAGAGACATCAGACTGGCAACAAAGATCCGCCTAGTCAAAGCCATGGTATTCCCTGTAGTCACCTACGGATGTGAGAGCTGGACCTTAGGGAAGGCTGAGCGACGGAAGATCGATGCTTTTGAGCTGTGGTGCTGGAGGAAAGTTCTGAGAGTGCCTTGGACTGCGAGAAGATCCAACCAGTCCATCCTCCAGGAAATAAAGCCCGACTGCTCACTGGAGGGAAGGATACTAGAGACAAAGTTGAAGTACTTTGGCCACATCATGAGAAGACAAGAAAGCTTAGAGAAGACAATGATGCTTGGGAAAATGGAAGGAAAAAGCAAGAGGGGCTGACCCAGAGCAAGATGGATGGATGGAATCCTTGAAGTGACTAGCTTGACTCTGAAAGAGCTGAAGGTGGTGATGGTTGACAGGGAGCTCTAGCATGGGCTGGTCCATGGTCATGAAGAGTCGAAAGTGACTGAACGAATGAACAACAACATGGCAGGCCAGAGCAGAGGAACATTTGGATCCCAAAAGGGTTGGCCTTGGTCAGGATGAGTTGGTGGACAGGAGAGAAAAACTGCATCCATTAGACCCCATATTGCCTACTCCTGATCTAGAATCCTAGACAGCCTCTGTGGAAAAGCCCCCAAAGAAGGAAACTCTACCACACTCCGAGGCAGCCTATGCCACTCTCCAGGACATTCTTCTTAATCTTTTCAGTCAAATCTCTTTCCCTGACATTTGAAAACATTGCTCCCTTGTCTCTAGAGCAGGGGTCCTCAAACTTTTTAGACAGAGGGCCAGGTCACAGTCCCTCAAACTGTTGGAGGGCCGGATTATAATTTGAAAAAAATATGAATGAATTTCTATGCACACTGCACATATCTTATTTGTAGTGCAAAAACACTTAAAAAATACAATAATTAAAATGAAGAACAATTTTAACAAATATAAACTTATTAGTATTTCAGTGGGAATTGTGGGCCTGCTTTTGGCTGATGAGATAGGATTGTTGTTGTTGTTGTTGTGTTGTTGTGTCTTTCAAGTCATTTCAGACTTAGGTTGACCCTGAGCCAGGTAAATGACCTTGGAGGGCCGTATCCGGCCCTCGGGCCTTAGTTTGAGGACCCCTCTCTAGAGCCTCATGTCACCCGTTCCCCCCTCCTTCGCACTTTTAAATTCTTGAACATGGTATCTCATGTTCCCGTCTCTACCTTCTATTATCCCAGCTAACATCCCCCCAGGAGGAAAGGAGAAAGGAAAAAGAGGAGGAAGAGAAGGATGGAAGGAAGGGAGGAAGGGATTGGGTAGGTGGAGGGAGGGAGGGAAGGGAGAAGAAGGAGAGACAAAAGGAAAGGAAGGAATAAGAAAGGGAGAGAGGGAAGGAGGGAGGAAAGAGAGCAGGAAGGAGGAAAGAGGGAAGGCAGGAGGAGAGGGTGGAAGGCGAAGGAAGGATGGAGAAAGGAGGCAGTAAGGAAGGAAGGAGAAAGGAAAGAGAGAAGAAAGAAAGGATAGGATGGTGCATGTGAGAGATAGCCTGAGAAAAGAACCCAAGGGGCCACATCTGGCCCCCGGGCCTGGGCCCACCCATATCAGCCCATTTCTATCCCGCCCATATC